CCTTTCCGGCCTATGCTCCACCAGAAGCGACAAAAAATATGTCAAGTAAGTGAAGAAGCCAACGTAAAAATATATAAAGCTGTGGGAAGACTGATATTGACGTACAAACTAAAACAGAAACGAAAAGAACAAAGCAAATAACAAGGCCAACTGAAATGAAAGTGCTTTAGAAACATATTGAGTAGTGTGACACTGAGAATTAGAAAGACAAACAAATTAGTTAGGAAAATATGTTATATATAAGACGTGGTCCAAGACGAGAAATAGGAAATGGAAGGTGAGAAGTAATAGGAATAGAAGAATACCACCCAAGATATGAATCCCTAGTTGGTTATTCTCGTATATAGAATAAAAAGAAGCAAAACAAACAGGGACTACCTCTAATTGAACGAAGTAGAAGATACAGCTAAACACTCTTTGAATTCTCTGGACAGTTAAGTCTAAAACACGCTTCAGTTCAATATGTTGAATCCCTGTTGAAATATAGTTACTATGCCTCAATCTGTACTTCTTATGTATGGAGTATTAGCGGAATCCCTAGCCGTTGAGATTATGGGCATTGCTCTCTAACTGCAATAAATTAATTACAACACAGTTTAATTGTATTATCATATACAGTGTTTACCAGTATGTATTTGAACAACCATGCAAATGCCGATATCTGTGATCTAGAATCAAGATCACGTCATTATATAGTAAACTACATTGGTTTTATATGCATGCAAGATACCACACAGTGCAGAAAATTATCTGATTTCGAGAAAGGTGTAATCGACGGGTATCGCAGAAATGAAAATTGACAATGGTTCATGTTATTAAGAAGTGATAGTTGGTATGTTCCCGGCGAATGTTATTCAGAGCTACATACACCAGGAGTTTCAACGGGAATCCGGAAGCGTTCTTTCAATTAATACTATCTGTAATGTATTTGCTCGGTTTTAATGGTCGCTCATAAGCCACTCATTAACCACTAAATCTAATCTAGCTGTATGGTTAATGTTTTAGTTAAATAGTACATCAGTGAAGACTGCTTTTGTGGAGCGATGAATCAAGCTTCACCCGCTACTGTTCGGATGATAGGGGCTAGGACTGGCGTTAGCCTCCTGTCTGAATACATTGTACCAACAGTAAAGTTTGGTTGAAGTAGGATTATAGTTTAGGAGTATTTCTTCTTGTATGGATTGTGACTATTAATCCCAATTTTAGATAACAATGTACTTTCTACGTTATGAGAGCAGCTTTAGTGGACCTTTGTTATTTTAGGTTCACCATCAATGTATTGACATCGATGGGTTGCTCAAATTGAAAGACTGAGTGGAAGAAAATACTAACATAACGGACTTGTGGAAAACATACCAAGGAGGAAGCCATCAGGAGGATCTACCTAAATACTGAATAAAGTTTATATCTCTTTTATATAGATGGTGTAGTTAAAGAAGATTTAACTACAAATCCAGGCTTTAGGGCAAGAAAGCGCAAGAAACAAGTGTTTTGCGGGTGACTATCCCAAGATGGTACAAACCAAGATGTTCGTTTTCAGGATAATCTTAACCACACGGTTAGCGTCCTTCTAGAACTACACCAGAGATGTACGACAGGTGCCGGGACAGACGCTTAATGTCTTCTCTAAAGGACAGGGGGTGGACTCTGCAAAATGTACTTACGCCGGATTGAATCCACTCACTCACTGGATTTTCAATGCTGAAGAAATATTTACAAGTGATGAAGCTAAAACACAGCTTTAAAAATTATTATAAATTATAAAAGCAACTCGTTTATGCAAAATGCGTTTTGCATTATTGTTGCTCAGATTTAATCAATTCAGTAAAAAACGATTTTCAACTACACTGGTTATAATTGTGTACAAATTTAATTCGAGGAAATGGTCATGGCGCATCATAAAAAATTTATATGATAGATTTGCATATGGTTCTATAGATGTGTTTATTCCACTTTCATCTTTATCTTGTCTTCGCCTGCAACAGGATTCAACCTAGATATTTCTAATTTGGTGGGTTAAGATGGCGATCAATTGTAATTGTAGAGGAACGAGGGCGAAATGGCAAAAAGGGGGCGAGAACGAAGAAGATTTATTAGCATATTAGCTCAAAGAAATGAAGACTCAAATAGCTTTTCTGTTATAGATAGTAACAGTGTGTAAAGAAATCGATGGAGAAACTTCAAAGCATTAGCATTTACTATGTTTTATCATTCCTTATAGAGTATTATTATTTTTACATATTCTTAATAAATTAATAAAAATTTAGCTGCAATTTTTCTTATATCATAAGCTAATGATAATACTCTATAAACAATGATTATACAGGTGTCTCAGCGAGACTGGTCATTAGACGTTTGTGGGGTTCTGGCCAAACAAAAAATTTGAGAATGCAGACTTAAGTATTATCAATTACGTTCTCTTCATCTAAAATATTTTCAGATTTCTAGCACTTCCGGTTATACCGGAAGTCGCCACCTACTTTATTTTTTTAAATGGAACACCCTGTATATTTTTACATATTTGGATTTGTCTGTTTTGAAGGTTTATAAATAACTTTACTTTTTGCAATTTGATTCGGCCGTTCTCGAGTTATTCGAATTTTTCTAGAAAAATCTGCTCCAGCGGACATTTGTTCAAAAAATCATAGAACACTCAATTTTTGAGATATCAATTTAGGATTCAGAACATGCTTAAACAACATGATGGAGTATGTTTTGGTGCCAAGAACGGCTGTCTAGATCGTTTGGTCACTTTACTATGACACGTTAACTTTTCGAAATTTGGAAGCACCAT